GAAATTCACAGACACCCAGAGACCAGACACATGCACACACATAAAATTCCCCAAACACTCCCCACCCACTAAAAGTCCCCCACTAAAAATACAAACATCTACACCACAGGCCAAGTAACACAGATCTCCACCACACCTTATAAAAAATCTGATTCCATTTTGGCTGCTAAAGAGGAGGTGAGGGGGCACCAGGTAACATACGACCGAAATACGGGGGTAGACACCCCCCCCGGGTTTAAATTGTGGGTCCAAGTGGCCCCCACCGGCTGAGACTTGCCAAGGGCTGAACCCCACCAGAAGAGAGTCCTACAGTGTGGCATAAACACACCATCATGGCTTTATCTATTCTTAATTTTAATATTTATCAGTGGACGCAGTTGGCACAGCATCGGCCTCAAACTGTGAAACCGGAGTGACAGCTTGGCACGGCATCGGCCTCAAACTGTGAAACCGGAGTGTGTTGATCATTCTGGTTGTCTGTGGTACACCTGTGGACATACCTGGATCCTGCACTCAGTTACATGTCAGATGGCACAAGAGATGAATTTTTCTCTTACATGTGCATTCATAATAAGATTCTGGCTGCTGGCCTTTTCATGGATGGCTTTGAATGCTTTAATTAGAGATTTATTATAATTTTGTCTCTATTCCTAGTCATTGTGCTCCTTGCGCGCATTCTTTTTAGTGGAAAAATCAATGAGGACTAGAGCCTTGACATTTAAATTGTGGTTGTTTCTGCCTGCCAGACTTAAAAGAGAGTATATGTTTAATGTCAGAACTTGAGAAAGGTGGCCAGTGAAACTTAGAATTTCTTTTCCTGAAGCAACTGCTGTACCACAAAGTTGTGGGTCTAAAATCCTTCTGGCTATTTCATGTTCTTATTACAAGAATAGGAAACAGCCGATAGGATTTGAGTCTGCAAAATATCTCTCGGCCATCGCAGGAACCGAATTCGGGGCTTTCTGCATAGAACGCCAGAGTTTGATGACTAAGCTATGAGCCTCCCTGGGCCGTTAATGTATTTAATGCTCTTTATGGTTCTCTTTCTCTCTCGAATGTAAAGGCCAGGATCCGTGGTGGTGGACTCAGAAATAAATTTCCGGAATAACAGTGAGACGTCCAAGCCCGAATTTGCGCAAAAAGTAGGAGAAACAATTAAGAATGCCACGGGCGGTGACCTCCATGGCTTGACGCTAACTGATGTTGCAGGTAAAAGATTGGTTGATTCAGGCGGGGCTGAGACAGACCTCAATTTTTTTCAGTGGGGTCCCACAGAAAAAACTAAGAAACAGTTAAGAATGCCACGGACAGTGAACTCCACGGCTTGAAGCTGACTGATATTGCAGGTAAAAGATTGGTTGATTCAGGCAGGGCTGAGACAGAACTCAATTTTTTCAGTGGGGTCCCACAGAAAAAACTAGCATGAAGTTTCTAGTCCTCATCATCAATGGAATAGCTGTGGCTGGCAAAATGGGAACTGAACGGGGATCTGGGAAGAGAGGGTTCGGGAGACACAAAACCCCGCTAATTTATCTATAGATGATGGAAAACTCGCCCTCCTGTGTTTCTGATGGCCTTCTTGTCTTCCTCCCCTTTCATAGCCACGGATTCAACCCCTCCTACGTCTTCCTCACCTACCGTCCCCGGCTGGGGCATCGCTCTGCTTGTTCTGGTCTGCTTCCTTGTGCTGCTAGCCCTCATCGCCTTCCTGCTGCTGGTGAGTATTTCGCCGCCCTCCCTCCAGGTCGGGCCGACGGCAACTCGCCCGGCTGGCCACCGAGCCAAATCGTGGACCTGCAATTCACCTCGGTGTCCTGCCAAGAGCTCTCCAGCCGAGTTCCCCCCTCTCTGCTGTGTTGGATTTGCAGGTAGACTGTCCCCGAATGTAGAGGCTCCATTTAGCAATCACGGAGCAGGCAGTGTGGTATAGTGGTGAGGCCATGAACCATGAGAGATTTGGGATTGTTTTCGTCTCTCACCTTAGTATGAAGCTCCCTGAGTCGATAATAATAATCTAATTAACTCAAGAGGTGCAGAGCTAGAATCCTGGGCTGGTCACTCCATCTTCGCTTGACCTGCGTCACAGGGTTGGTGTGCGGGAGAGGAAAGCCTCATAGGCTGCTTTGAGACTTATTTGGAAATAGACTAGAACTACCGATTCAGATCCAACGAGATGAATCCGGTCCTTAAATGATCGAGGACGGCCACCTAAACTTCTCCAGAGTCTAGATGATGCAGTGGGTTGCCGTACTTTAAAAATCAGAGACATTTTCCTCTCTTTTGCTTTGCTGCATGCTCAATCCTCGGCTCTTCCCTCTTCGGCTTTCCTCCCAGATCATTTACTGGTGTCGGCGGCACCAGCGCGGCAGCCTGGACCTGCTAAGCAGCCGAGACTCTTACCACCCCATGAGCGACTACCCAACATACCAAACCCATGGGCGATACGCTGCCCCGAACAGCAAGCCGAACCCTTACAATGAGGTGAGTGCGAATCTCTGTCTGTCTGTCTGTCCTTTCTCCATTTAGTCTTACTCCATCAGCATTCCCATCTCTATCTAAATGATGATGATGATGATGATGATGGCCTGAACCCCTTCCCCCTTCACGCCCCCCTGAGGGGCATGCTGCTGGCCACCCACCCCCGTTTGGGAACCGGCGCCCCCCATAGCACATTCCAGCCTGTGAATGTCATTTACTCGTCTTGCATTCTTGCCAAGCATTTTCAATTGTAATTATTTTTTTAATTCCATTTTTTGGGTGTGGCTGGCACCCTGGCCCGCTCGAATCGGAGCGAAGGCGCCAGCCCCTCGTGAGTCGCCAGCTTCGGAGGCGGCCCTGCCTCTTGCCCTTGATCCCGAGTTGCTCTGTGCTGTCCTTCTCCATCCCACAGTTAATCTCTAACTGGGAGTCTGGTGTGAAAACAACACCTGCCCTTGTGCGGGCCAAGGCTTCAGCTTCGTCTGGGGCCCTCCATTATCACTTCTGCTCACCTGTCCCAAGACCACGCTAGGCCTTAACCTCTTGTTCCAACACACCTTCCCTTTCCCAAGATGGCTTCTCCCCCCCATTTCCTCGGGTTGGAGATTAAATCCGCGGTGGGTGGGTGAGTGGGGATCTGTCTGTGGGAAAAGCCAGGCTCAGTCACGAATCAGAAGAGGCAGGCGACTTTGACCCCCTGGGAACAGCAGGAAGGTGGGCATCCCCTCCGGGTTCGAGTCCGAACGTTACGGGAGTGGCTTGAAAAGCCGAAGCCCATCCTGGAAACAGATTCAGCACCCTGGACCGCTCCTTTCACGTTCGGACAAAGATCCGGGATGGGTTCATGTCAAAGTCCCCAGCCTCCGCCGCTATCAAGGTGGCCTGGTCTAACCTGGCCGGTGTGCGTTGAGAAGGCTTAGCCGGACCATCGAGGCTGGATAGGCCCCGTTGCCATGGTTACCAGGTGGAGCCTATTTTTATCCCCCTCGACAAAGGTGTCATTATTTTTATTGATTGGTTTCTCCCCCTGCTCGGCTCAGGGAGGGAGAGACACATCATGTCCGCCCAGCCGCTCCGGCTTTCTGCCCGCTGCGCCCTTAGCACCTGCCCAAGCCAGCCGCGAGCTGTTCTCTTCCGTGCACGACTTGGCTGAACAAACACCAGGAGGGCTGAGCAAACACTCCGGTCGGCCCCTGTGGGAATGCGGGCAAAAGGAGAGCAGAAGGAAGGGGGGAGGTGTCTCTCCCCTCCCCAGCCTCTCTTTCGCAAGCATCATCCGCCAGGTTGGAGGATGATGCCTCTTCACGGCTTGTTTGCCCTTGGTGTGACCAGGCTAATGTTTACACACGGCACTGAGCTGTTCGCTCGTAACGTTGCTGGCGGCCCTCCAGGCCTCTTTTTCCTTTCCTCCTGAGAGGGAAAGGACATCGGGTTCAGGCCATGCTGGCCAGATATTTGGTTGCCCCTCAGATGCTCTGTTTCTGCCTCCCGTTTTTCCCTCAAGGAAGCCACACAGAAGGATGGGGTGTTCAGATTTGTTTTGGACTACAAATCCCATCCCCCTCCATTCTGGGAACGCTCCCTGACCGACATTCCAGGCACCTAACTGTCGCTCACCTGGACTGAGAGGTTTTCAAGGCCTAGCTCGGCCTAGCTTCCTGTTCAGAAAGCCAGCACTGGATTAGGGACAGGAAGCTTGGATGGAGCTAGGCCTAGATCGGCCTTTGGCCCAGGCGAGCCACGTTTAGGGGTTTTGAAGGTCTGCAAGGCCGATATAGCTCCTAGAATGGGAGAAAGGTGGTGTGGGGTCCTACAGAGAAGGGAATGGCTGGCTGGAATGCTGAATAGGAAAATAGTTCCCCCTCGAAATTTTGAAAAGTTACTTTTCGGCTACAACTTGTAGTCCATAAAAAGTAACTTTTCTGTTACATGGGAGTGTGTGAATCTGAGGATGGATTATCCTTGACAGTGTGGATCTGTCCCTAAGTGGCTTAGGGACAGAAATCTCCATTATAGATTTCCCTTAAAGAGAACTGCAAGCACGTTATTGTTGGAGAGACGTGACTCAGGCAGTCTTTCATGCCTGGGGGGGGCAGAGAAACAGACTGACAAAAACCTGCAGTTTAGTTCTGAAGATCTATCCTCAGACCAGGCTCCCTCAGGGAGATGGGAAGAGTCCTCGTGTGACACTCACACTTAATCAGCCCTTAATGGGTTTCGTCTTCTAAGAACAGCTAGTCTAGAATGTCTTTTTTTCAGCCCTCGGTTCTCCCTCCGCAGGCTAACCTTTTGGACATGCAAATCAAGAGGCGGATTCGAGGTTGTATTTAAAAATTCAACAAACAGACGTGACAACGCAACTCCTTCTAGCGTGTGCGGGAACAAGACTCCCCACGTAAGCTGGTGGTAGCAAACACACCCTGACAAAGAATGTAGGAAACGTTTGCCTAGGACTGATCCTTTCACCTAGAAAGCTGTGGTCTTACTACCTAGATAGTCACTGCTGTGTATGGATATATATCTAGAACATCCTATACCGACCTCCCTCTACTGGATTTTTTCCTCTGAGACACAGTCTCGGTGGTCAGGTTTCAGATGAAGCCAACCTTCCAATCGCCACGCGAAGCAGGAAAGAAAATCAAGCAGTGTGCCAAACAGATGACATTGATCATGAAGGGAGCACCTCTTTTAGACACAGGCTCAGTGTGATTGACGCTGACCCCAAATCGGTTTATTAAGAAGTTAAATGAACTAATCATATCTTCTCTGGGTTTTCCTCTCCGCAGACATTACCGAGGAACGGGGCCAGGGGCTTCTCTTACACCAACCCGGCGATGGCCAATGACAACTTGTAGGGGGCGAGACACGCATTCTACAACTGGACGTGGGGTGGGGGTTAGGGTTAGGCGGGACAACCAGGCTGGGCCAGGGATATCCCAAGACGCCTGAACGAGAGATATCTGTGAAAATGTAGGCTTCCTCCAGATGTGAGAAAAGTCACACACCGCCTCCTTGAACTGAATCCACTGCGTTAATAATGAGAATTTGTCATCATCTGAGAACAGCGGAGCTGGAAGAGAGCCGACCGATCATCGAGTCCAGACCCTATCAAAGACGCGCCGGGGGGATTCAAACTCATTACTTCTGGCGCTGCAGTGGCACAGAAATGGTGGCCCTTGGAAGAGTTTAATGTATAGACTCCCAGAGGAGGTAGAACTTCATTTTCTATCAGCGCCCATCCGGCCCAAGGCGATGGGGACTAGCAGCTTGACTACTAGGCTAAGCAGGGTCTCTCGATAGCAGAATATATTAATGTCACAAACTGCAGCACAGGAAAGATTAACCAGGAGGAAATGCAAAATATTTCTAGCTGATATTTAACGTCCAAGTTCCCATCACCAGAAGGAGGAAAAAAGGACTTCCCCCCCTCCAAAAAAACACACATTTTTATATACGTATTAATATGTTTTCTTCCAAATATTATTTTTCCCTCTCTCCTTCTTTTTTTTGCCAATACCGCTATCAAATATTACTGAAACTGCCTTTTGTGTGGGGTTCGGGAAGCATCCAGGCTACGTGGCTGAGGGTCTTTCCTGGGGTGTGCGAGGGGGAGGGGGTCCTGTCCGCTCCGGGTTTTAGTCGGAACTTGACACAAGCTTTCCCAAGGTGCTGGACTTAATTTTGTTTTTGTTTTTTGTTGTGGGCGAGGGAATACGGTATGATGTCTTGGGGAGAGAGAGTCTGTAAATTTTGAACTGAAACACGGACCGGATTCAGCCCGACCACCCACCCCCCTGGTCAGCCGTCCCGCCATGCAATCGTGGTCTGAAGAGGGCGAGAGTGCAATATTCCATTTTTGCTGCCCGTGCGGAGCAGGACTCGAACTCCAGACCATGCCTTGTACAATAGCAGGACGCAGAGGTAGTGAGATGAAGGATAACTACGCAGGGTCTCCGAACCCCATTCCAGCGTTCCTGAAGAGCCAAACAGGACGTATGAAGGAACGGGGGAAAATAACATGGATTTTAGATTATGGGGTTGGAGCAAAATGGGGCATTCAACAGATTCAGAGGGACAGCCGTCGACGTATGAAGGAACGGGGGAAAATAACATGGATTTTAGATTATGGAGCAAAATGGGGGATTCAACAGATTCAGAGGGACAGCCGTCGCCACTGCCCCCGGCCGTTTCTCTCTTTTGAAGGGCAAAGCTGTGTGGCTCACATAGCCCATCCTCCACTCCTAAGGCTGCTTCCAAGGACGATGGGTTATTGAATGCCAGGGCTAGCGTTTCACCCCTTGCTAAAGCCGAAGGAAAATCTGGGGGCCACGCTGTAGTAAGTGGGAGCCGGGCAGCACAATCAGTGGGCACAGCCTCAGGGTGACTCTCTCTGGCGCCTGGGGGGGGCGAGACTCCCATCGTCCTTGGTTGTGCCAAGATCAATGGGAGTTGTAGTCCGGCGACACTCCAAAGCTCTGCCTGAGCTCAAAACGCTCACAATAACCCTCAAGCCAACCAGTATTTTCTCGGGAAAAATACTCCAGGGCAGAGGAAACCGAACGAAGAAAACTTGTTTTTCTGAAAAAAGTATTCTTTGTCCGCTTCAGAGCGACGAGGTCGGGTTTTGTCTAGCCGAGCCTGCGTTCTGGATAAATATAAGTTGAGCGTTCCTGGCGTGGGCGAAGCGCCACGAGGCAAAAAGCGGGTGTGGGAGGGAGGGAGCGCCGTGGCATTTTGGGGGAAAATTTATTTATAACTTTTGACAATAAAAGGAACAACACTGATAACAAGGTGTGCCGTCTCTGTTTGTGGACAGGAGGGCCGACGTCTCTTTCCTGGGTAAGGAAGGCAAATTGTTTTCAGGCGTGGCTGAGATGTCGCTGGACGAAAACAAAACTATCTGTAGCCATTATGTTGTTTTCCGAATGACAATATCCCTTTTTTTAACCACCTAAAGCTGCACTATGACAGCGGCAATATCTTCCTTATTACATCTTTCTTCCAAACTCTGGACGCTCAAGAGAAAACCAGCATTTCCACCGACACACAGGGGATACAGGGCAGAAACGGACTGAGAGGGCAGCTTTGCAATTAGGAAGTGATTAAAACTTAGCCCTCTGGAGTGGCTTGCTTCAAAGCTTCGGCGCTTTGCCCCCTCCAAGCCCATGGGCTCCCCCACCGCCGATGGCCAACCCCCAAACAGACCAAGATCACCAGCAGCTGTTGGAGCTGAGAAACCTTTTTTTTGGGGGGGTGATCATCCAATGTCCTTTACTTCTTAAGGCAGCTGTGCTTCTAACTGTGAAGCAGATGGCTCGTTTGGGATCGCCGACTGCGGCGAATGTTTGCACACTCCTCTTGACCCTTTTGAAAGACGTACGTGGTGCATAAAGTAAGGCTTTAAAACGATACGATTGTCTAAAGACAATAAACCCTTGGGAATTACCCTCATGTCTTTAAACACATCCTGTAGTGTTCACTTTCCTGTAACCTGGCTCATCTCGGGGGTGGGGGGGAGGCCAGAATGATAGGCACTTAGATTATAGCGAATTTGTTACAGATTAGATCTTTGCATGCACATAAGCAGATTCGCAGATTCATCGCTTTTCTGCCATTCCCCCTCTTCCGAAACCCTCACCGTCTGGAGCCAAGAAAAATCTGTGTTCCAGAGGCCGTTCTGTCAAAACCAAGAAGATGCGGCCCTTTGTTTGTTTTGCAAAATTTCGTCTGTTCACCTAGGGGGTGAAAGAGCTGTTCCAAGAAACACCGTTCCAAATTTTGGGCGACTGGGACTTCACCTGCCGATGTTCTAAAATAATCCCTCTTGACATCCATAAGGACTAGGAACTTAAGCTTTTGCTTTGGTGGAGGGGAGAGAACCCACCCCAGGCTAGCTTTCGAAAAACCCCAATTTCTGATTTTAATGTTACTCAAAAGCCTCTCTTCCTGCCACCTGTCCACATACACACATGTACAGAAGCTAGAAAACCTGAATCGGTTAATTCTTGCCTCTTAGGGAGCGATTTCCGACGTAGGCCACCTTTCCTCTCGTATAAAAATAACCAACAGAAGCCAGGGCGTTAGATGTTCTGCCAACTTTTCAGTGCACTTAAGGAAGGAAAAAAATCATAATAATGTGATTCAGCCTGCCCAGAGTTAAGAAAACATAATTGCCTTTAATGTCCTTTACTTCTGCAAGAAATATTCAGATTAGCATCGTTCGCCGGCTGGCTCTCAAGCGAGGTTGATACCAGAAAGGTCTTAACTATATCGGTTACAGCTTGTCCGCACAATGCATGCAGGTTGGGAAACTATTCGAGCAGGAAAAATTTTTTTTAAATAAACAAACGGACAAAAACCTGCTGGACGGACTTTTTTTAAAACCGCACACGGTATGAAAATAGACATCAGTGGGGCTACTCTGTGCCTTGACCACGGGGCAGGCTGGAATTCGAACAGCTTGGCCTTTTACAAGGATGGTGTCGGAGTAACCTTTCCCATCGTCCTTCAGCAGAAATGGATCGCTCAGGGTTTTAGGGATCTGGCTGCAGAGCAAAAGGTCTGGAGTTCGAATTCCTTCCCCTCGGGCCTCCATAACTGGGGCTGGAATGGATGATCCATCCTTGCAGTTCTAAGACACAATTTCAGTGCCTGTTTATATATTTAAAAAGCTTTTATGCCCCCTTTCTTTTTCGAAAGGACCCAAGACAAATTGCAACAATTAAAAGACAGCATTGAAGCTGATGGCTATGGATTGCTGATGAGTTGGGGTGGAGGAGTCAAATGATGATATACTCAGAGTTTGGAAAATAGGAGGTTACCGATAACTGTCCTTGGGGATTCTGGGACCTGCAGTTCCGGGGAAGTTGCTTTTTTTAAAAATGGACCTTCCACTTTTCTGGATGTATACATTTTTTCGCAACATAGGAGGAGGTGGTGGTGCAGGATCTGGGTGTGTGTGGTGGGGTGCTCAACCCTAAAACCGGTCTGGAAACCCAGACTCTTCCAGGTTATGGTGGGGATGATGGGGGCTGTAGTTCCCACAATCTGAGGACTGCCATCAGTCACGGTGTGCGATCAAGTTGTTTCCGACAGATTGCAGCCATTGTAGAGTTTTCGGGGTGAAATCATCGTCATTTTAGAACGGAGTAGCTGAAAGGGACCCTTGGGGTCATCCAGTCCAGCCCCTGTCAAGGCGGCGAGGCGGAGAATCGAACACCCAATCTCTGGTTCTGCAGCTAGAGGCCTCAGCCCTTGAGTTACCCACCAGTTCTGTAGAAGGAGGAGTTTACCTCGGCCGGCCAGCAGGGAATGTCCGTAGACATGTGAGGATTTGAACTCCGAACTCGAGTCTCTGAATAGATAAACAGTGATGTGAGCCTTGATCGCCTATGAAAGCATGTCTCCTCCGGGATGCTTTTTAAAAGACCCTTTAAAACCACAGCAAAGTAGAGAGAGCCCGGGCGTTTCTCCACGACTCTTCGACCAGCATCGAAACGAAATGGCTCGCAGCCAAGATCGAGAAGCGGGCCAAATTGCGATCAGACGCCGAGCCGGCGTTTAACTCATGGGAGAGATGGGGAAAGAGGTTGAACCATGGTCCCTGTTTTTAAGCTCTTAATGTCCTTTAGCTGTAAATAAATACTGCTTCTTCTTTTTTTAAAAAACTAGGGTTGTCCCGTAAAGCCGAAGGGCCTTATGACGATTTAGTAATGTTTGCTTTAGAAGCAGAAATGTACACAAGGGCAAAATGAAACACCTGTAAGGCTGGATGTTCCCTGGAGATCTGCCTGGGTTAGACATTGCTTTAGTTCATGGTGTGAAGTGTATGTTCCCCCCGCCGCCCTGTTGCTGGGCTTTCTGATCAAGGTGCCAACCCTAAACTCTGTTTTCCCTTAAAATGTCTCGGAATAGTGCAGTTGAGTTCTGCAAAAATGTTGGGTTTTTTTGCAACCTCGCAGGCTGCCTTTAGAGTAAAAATGTTGGGGTTTTTTGCAACCTCGCAGGCTGCCTTTAGTAGGTTTGGCAGGGAGGGACCTTTCTGGACTGAGTGGACTGTCCGTCTATCTAGCAGTAACCAATCGTTCCTTCCCTGCTTCGGAATTCAAGGAGAGCCCGCCTCTCTGCTTTCTGCCGTTTCCCCTCTCTTCAATCTATTGGAAGCGTTGAGTCTGTTGTTGACAGACTCCTATCTTTCTCAGTTTGCTATCTGATCTGTTTCATTATAAGCCATGTTTCCTCTAAGCTGTGCAATGCTGGATCGGGATCACCCATTTGCCTTCCGGTCACAGCTGCACACGACCCCTACCCAGCGCTCCATAAAAAATTAGAGGAAACTTTGATCATAAGTAATGAAACCTTTTATTCTTTCTCCTACTAAGGTCTCAGAGTGAGTTATTGAGACGGTAAGCGCCAGTTGATGTAAAAGAGAGGTGGTCTACTCTGGCAAACTTGAAGCTATTCTTTGTGACTCTCTGTCCTTCTGCTAGAGGGATTTAACCCAAAATTCCAAACTCTGCAACACCAAAAGAATGTATACACAGTGTGGACATGAAGGGAAAATGGTGATAAACATATATTCCAGCGTCCATTTCCCTATTTGCCTAAATCATCAGACTCCATTCCCATAACGACAAGCTCAAAACTGGGCCAAAATAAATACTGAAAGATCTTAAACCACAGGACCCTGAAATACCGGTCTTCCATCCTTGGGAGCGTGTCATAGCAGGAAGCCATACGCCTGTACAGAAATGAGAATATCTCTAATATATATATTGTGATCAAACCGATGTATCAAGTTCTTTTGGGGGGGGGCTCGGGGAAGCCACTCTCCGGGAATCTGTGGACGGTTTTGCGTGTTTTAATTTGCAGTAAATTTAAGTTTGTGGTTCAAGGATCTTACCTTCTTCAAACCCCGATGCCCGATCACATTTCAAAAAGCAGGAAGATGTGTTCAAGCTAACAGGACACCTTTAACCTTTATTGTCCATTTATAAAACCGAAGCCAATCTTCCTCGACTCTTCTCCTAACAAAGAGGCATTCAGTTATCCAGGAACCGATTTTCCACCGCCGGTGCCTAACAAAACATAAAGATGATCTGTTTGTTTATTTATTTATTGGGGGGAAAAGAAGTGTAGAAGATCTTCCAGAGTTGATCCTTAACTTTTTTAAAAATGAGTTTTAAAGGCAACTGAACCGTCAAGTATGCTTAAAGATCTCCCTCTCGTATGTAATTTCCCCGAATCGAAACCAAGACACTCCGGCTCCTGTTCCCAACGGATTGGGTTCTCCCTGGGATCTGAAGCCACTGATTCGCAGGAAGACTGCCACGGCGCCTGGAGGTTCTAGGCATCCGTTGTTCCCAGGCATTTGTAATTTTAGAAATTTGGGGAAAGCAAACACGCACAACCCCTTGCTGATTTAAACAAAAAAAAGGAGGAGAGGTTTGGACAAGAGGCGTGGAGGCGATCGAGGGAGGATCCAGGGAATAGATGGGTTTCGGTCTGCTGTTTCCCGGGGTAACCTTGAAAACAAACATCTTTCATTACCAGCCATCTCATTTTTTATAAACTCATTTCCCCCCCTCCTTCCTTGCTTATCAGTCAGTTGAAGGCGGACATGACCAAAGGCTTCCGCATGGATCAATGCATCGCCGGCTTCCGGAAACCTGCTTAGGCAAGCCGCAGGTGCAGCCGGCGGGAGGGAGGGCGGGCACTGCGGGCTTTCAAAAGGTTCAACTGTTGCTGGGTGGAGGATGATGGGATGCGTAGTCCATGGAAAGAATGCTTCTGGGGGATTCCCACCCACCTACCAAGGCCTCTCCGGATTGCCGAGGAAATAGAAATCCACCCTGGAATTCATTCTCTGAGTGTGGGGGGTGGCACCACCGATCCGGGGATGATGGGGTTTGTCATTGAAGGAGTAGCCAAGTTCCCCCCTAAACCCATCATCCCCCCTCCAACGGCAGAGAGCCAGGCGCCCACGGAGACTCCTTCGGGCTCGGCCAAAAACAACAGCTTTTGTCTCGGCTTGTTCCAACAGCCGACGGATTCTTGGACTTCGGGCAGAAAAGGGAACAGACACACACTGGAGTCCTTTCTTACAGCCGATCCTTGCTTTTTTTTTTTTTAAAAAAAAAAAGCGAAGAAAAGTTTTCAAAATTAGACTGTCCTGGTTTGGATAAAGGAAGACGAACAAGGCCAGGAGGAAAAAAAAAGGACAGAGAGAGAGATTTACAATTCTTCTCCTGTGTACTGCTCCTGTCCTGTTCGCTCAATCAATTTATTAATTCCTTGCACTAATTAATTCAAGGCAAAGCCCGCCCTGCACCCACTTTTTGCCTCCTTCTTCCATCATCAGTTTACTGTGGGACCCCGCTATCCGCAGGATCCGTATCCACGGATTCGCTGGCTGAAAATATGAAAGGAAAAATATGGGGCAGATTCTTGGAATTTGAATTAACAAGAGGAAAACCCCGAATCAAGAATCAATGCAGTTCTGGAGAACAATAAAAGAAGAGGAAGAATCTAGATGGAGGAAGAAGAAGATTATTGCAAGAGGTCCCATTTACAGTGGTGGGGAACACAGTTAAATTGTATTTTGATTTGTCTATTTTATGTTTATGTTTTAGTTGATAATTTTTTTAAAAAAGGCAGAAACCCAGGAACGTCTATTTATATGTATTTTCAAGGTGTGTTTACTAGAACAGGCCACTAGAGGGAGGCAGAGACCATGCAATGTGTAGCATTCCATACTTCCGCGTTTTTCAGTATCCGCGGGAGCTTGGAACAGATCCCCACGGATATTGTATTACTTCATTGCAACTTAATTTGGGGTGGTTTCTCTTGATCATTTAAAATCATGGATCCCCCCGGTCCCATTTCAAGTGTTGGAAAATAACTTAAGTGGAGTGCAAGGTGCAAAATCCCCCAGCAAGTAAGGCCAAGGCCAGGCGGGCGAGGGGCTGCTGGGCTCCGTAGTCCGAACCCACCTTTTTCCATGGCCTGCTAAAGGGATTTGCAGCACTTAATATTTTAATTTTGGACAGGATTTTGCAAATTGTGAGCCAAGTTAGTTAGGCAATTTTGGGAGAGGTCGTCTAATAAAAAAGTACTGTATTTTTCCATGTATAAGACGCCCCCATGTATAAAACACCCCCCTTTTCTAAATCAAAATTTCTTTCTTTGCAAGAAAGTGGAGGGGGAGGCTTCTGCTTTCACCCTCCATTTTTGTTGCAAAAAGCAGCTTTCCCCCTCCACATTTTGCAAAGAAAATGCAGGGGAAAAGCGATTTCTGCTTTTCCCCCTACATTTTCATTGCAAAAGTTTTGCAACGAAAATGTAAGGGGAAAGTAGGAATCACTTTCCCCCTCCTTACTTCCGGGTATAAAATGACCCCCAATTTTTCCTTGAATTATTTTAGGGAAAAATGTGTCATTTTATACACGGAAAAAAATACGGTACTTTCCTGAGCCAGCCAGGGGATTCTGGTTGCTGTAGTCTTTAGTATCACTGTTCCACAGTCTAGTCATGAAAACCAGATGCAGCAGCTTTACCCATTGGTCCTCTGAACAATCCTTTATAATTTTTTCCCTCCTTTCCTTTTCTAATCTTTTAGGTCTGATTGATAGATGGGAGGAGTTTGGGACATAATAAGATATACGAAGGGACCACAAATAAAAATCAATTTTTTTGAGACATGCAAATCCTTGGTAGTCTTGCCATGCCCCCTGCTGGCTGTTCCTGGTACTGTGCATCTGTTGCAGAAAGCTAGTTTCATCAAGTTTTCAAAGTTACTTCCCCCCCCCCCCCCGCGG